CCCCCATTCCCGCCGGCCGGAGCGCAGGCAATCCCCTGCCAAGCCTTGCGGGGCTGGTGACTCCCGACCTCTGGGACCCCCCCTTCTGCGTGGCTCGGATCGCTTTCCCCGTTCGCCACCCAAGTTCTGGACTTGGGACAAGCCGATGCTGGGTTCCCAGACAGGTGGGAAGTCAAAACCGTTCGCATAGTTGCTGGGGACCACCGAGTCCAGAGCAGCCCTTAACCCTCGCCGGGCTGTCAGGGGTCCGTGCACCCCCCGCGGAAAGACAAGGTGGCTGCAGAGCCACCACGCCGAGCAGAGGGTCTCTGGGGCTGAAAAGCGCAGTAAATTGATTTTCTGGTGCTGACTAGAGTCTGTCGGCTGCATCTCCTTCCCTCTATCTTCCAGCCCCCGTGCTTATGCGACTATTTATATGTACTGGAATGAATGGCTGAAGGCAGAAGCATTGAAGCAAGCTGGAGAGGCCAATCCAGGGCCCAGCGAGCTCTCAGACACGAACCAGATCTGCCCTTCTCGGTGCAGAGGCACCATCACCACTGCAGCGGTCAGCATCCAGCCCAAACGCCGGGTCCTCGCCACGGAAAGCATCGCAGACCGGGGCCCGCAGTGTCTTCAGGCTGCACTGCTGCGTCCAAGGCGAGGCAGCTGCCATCCCCTCCAGCGCATGCGAACCAGGCACAGCGCACAGATTATTTCCTACGTAATAACACTGTGGTCTCTGCCTGGTCTGCGTCTGGTTACCCCTGCTCCACATCCGCTTCGCCTCAGAAGCCCTTTTCCAAGGCAGCAGGCCTGTGCCGTGCAGTCATGTGCTGCCAATGTTTTAGCAAGAACTCCTCCAAATATGTCCTCCCACAGCCTCTAACAAACATCGTGTCCCAAGGCACATGTAGTGAGGGCTGGAGGGAACGGCAACCGGGGAAGCTCTTCATTTGTTTTCGTGCTTAAACCAAACCCCGTCCCCAGGATGAAAGCAGCAGCAGCAGCAGCAGCAGGAAAACAAATTAGCATGATGCTGCACTTCCCTGAGCGTGTTTATTCCTGACAATTAGCCACAGCGAGATAATGATGTATAGCCGCAGCGCTCAGCTTGCTCAGTCTGAAGGGGGAGGAGAGCAAAGACCTTGTATGGGTGCCTTGGGGGTCATCTTCCTCCAGGAAAGCCTTTGCAAATACCTGCCATTTGGTGCGATCTGGTCCGTTCCTAAGGCAAACAATTTGTTCCTCAGAGGCATGTTTATGAGCCCTGGGGAAAAGTCTTCTCTGACAATGGTGATTTAGTAGCATCCAAAGAGGGAGCGAACTCCAGCAGAAAGAGGGAATTCGCCGCAACCTTCCTATCAATTTAATGGCAGAATTTTAATGAGGGGGCCCCCCAGGAGCCGATGCCGGCAGCTGCAGGGGGGGGAAGGGGCCCAAAAGTACATCTCCTTACGAAAAATAAACGACGAGCATTTTAATGGCGGCAAGGAAGGCGGCACATAATGCACAACCCCCCCGTGCAAACAAAGGGTTAACCCTCCCCCCCCGTGCACGCACAAGAATGTACAGGGAGGCGCTGACGACCCGATCCGATCCGATCCAATCCGATCCGCCGGAAAAACGAGACGGTGCACACGGCTGCTCCTTAGGAAGTCAGAGGGCTCCCTCTGGAGTGGATTGCAGAGGTAACACTGGATGGACATTTTAACGGGGGGTAATGGAAATGGAAATCAATACCACAGCAGATGCACCCGTGTCTCTCCTTAGCGTGCACAGAGCACAAAACAGGAGTCCGGTGAGACCGCATCGGGGCTACATGACGAAGCCATGCCTCGAGTATTGCACTGCTAATTAGTGTTCATGCATGGACTTGTGCGTGGCAAACAGGCGAAGGAAAGGTTACCCGAAAAGACAAGAAAGCTGGTCCCAGCGTGTGGAAAGACTCCAGAGAAACTGCCCCCGAATCAGGAGTAAAGCAAGCTGAGAATCTGCGTTTCCGTCGGGGTGATCATGCACATTTCTAAAAAAAAACACCAAAAAAAATAAACCCCCCAAAGACACACGCTCACTGGTCATGGACGCATGGCAATAAGCTACTTAATTGGAGAGAGGAGGAAAATAAGCTGGCAGAAGACAGGAACATGCTCAACTGGGAACCAATGAATCTGGCTGGGAATTTTTTAAGAGAGAAAGACATCTTGCACTAGCAGCGAACAGAACCAAACCCTACTGCACGGTGTATTTGCATACAACCCAACCCAACAGGACAAAAAACACTGTGCTTTCATGCAGAAACAAAAAAAAAAAAATCGACCACACATTCAAGTCAACTTACTGCCTGCTTTTGCTCTTCTTCCTACAAATGTCGGCAAGAGAAAAGGTGAAGAGAGAAACAGGAGAGGTTAATCGTCACATTAAAGGAAATATAAACACGCACACACCACAGCTCAAATGACACAACGGGCTCGTGGCAAATTGCAGAAACATCTGAAGACACAAAAGGAAACGGGGGACTTGGAAACAGCAGCTGGGGGGAAGCGGAGATGCGGTTTGCCGCGGCCATGCTCACGAAGGGCGAGACTGAGCGGGTCTCGCGGCAAACCTGCCCTTCCCTTAGCTCGCACTGGCTCCCATGTTGAGGTCAGAGGACCCTGCTTTCCTGCACCCCCCTTGGAGACCCGCAATCATTTAGCCAGGTGGGGCTCGACTCGGCCCAGCGTGCTGGCTTGGCCCGGCTCCCAGGCCTGGATCAGGCCCCGTGCCCCCGGGACCCGTGGGCCCGATGAGACAGCTCTGCGGGCCGGGGGTGGAGCACCCCTACTGTAAACCATTGTTAGGTTTCCAAAAACGACAGAATTTTCTACCAAAAAAGGGACTGCACCCAACATGGGGTAGCTGTATGTTGACGTACAAATAGGAATTAATCCCAGGCCTGGAAGCTGGTGGTTTCAAGGGCCGGTGTCTGTGACTGAAATATATTCAACATGAGCAAACGAAGGGCAGTCCCGCCCAGCAACACACCGTGGTCATTAAGAGGTGCTTGCAAAAGTCCCCCAAACCAGAAGCAAATCCAGAGCAAAACCAACTGAAAGGAAAATGGAGACGGAAAAAAGTGAGAATGAAAAGTAGAAGTTTTTAAAAAGAGTTTCTCTGACGGCGAAAAAGCCCTGCTACCAGAATCAAGAAAGAACACAAATTTGGCTAAAAGCTCACTCTAGTTCAGTGCTGAAGTGCAGGCAGCACTACGATAAAACAGAGATGCATGCAAAATGCAAAAGGGGAAATAGTGATTAATATAAAATATAAATTAGAAGTTGCAAAGGATAGCAAACTGATAGGGGAAGTTCAAAACAGAAGGGGAGAAATGAATGGCTGGCAGGAAAAAGGACAAGAAGAAGGGATTTTATTAAAAGTGTAACAGGACCACAAGACAGCGCAGCAAAGGTCCGTGACCCTTCGCAGGCGAGGAAGGGCAGAGGGGTTCAACGGGCAGCTTTGTTCTGTATTTGGGGAGCAGAAATGATCTGAGAAGGAGGAGAGCCGGGTTGCTTGGAGCTGCGGCAAGGCGAGGCAGGCGAGGCGAGGCGGCGAGGGAAGTGGGGGTGCTGCGCGCGGTGGGGGGGACGCTCCCGCAGCCCGGGGGGGTCTGTCTGCACCGGTGCTTTGATCTGGAGGAGCGTCCTGTGGCTGACTGGAGCGCAAGCCAGGTGGGCTTTGTTCGGGGCAACAGCTTATGCTCACACTCTTATAAAAGGCAGCCAATTTGTGAACAGAGGAGAAGCAAACCAAACAAGTTTGCCTGGGAGTTCACCTGGGAGCCGGGAGGTTTTCGGTTTCCCTTCCCATCCAAGAGGGGTGGGGGAGCGAGGTAGCTAGCCATGCCACTCTGAAGTTAGCACGAGGCAGGAGCTGTTGCTGAAGTGTCTAAGGAGGTTTTCTTGTGTGGTCCAAGAAAGCGCGGGCAGTGATGGAGCAGGTGTTGTGAGCTGCGCAGGATGCATCTCTTTTATCTGCTTCCTGGCGGACACGTGCAGCTTTGTCTTGGCTAAGTGCAAGCCGGTGGCTGCCCTGGAAGAAGAGGTTCAAGGCTGGAAGGCACAACTATCATCTCCGTGTAGCATCAAGGCAGAACAACGATCTGGAGAAGGGCTGACAGCGCCCGGTTGTGAAAAGAGGGAAAAGGAGGATCTGGGGAAATACAGACACGTCAGCCCGACTTCGATAGTAGTAGGCAAGCATCGATGCGCTGGATCACGGTGTACGCCCGAGGTCTAGTCGGGTGCCTGATGAATCCGCTTGTGCCAAGTTGTGCGACCATCACACCACGACTTTAGACAAGGGTATGGAGGAGCAGAAGCTCCCAGGACCTACCGTCTCCCACCAAGACCGAGTCCAGACGTTGAGCACCTCTGCCAGAGAGCAACAGGTCAGAACCGCTGCTGACTGCCGAGCACCCCAGCAAGGGCGCATTTCCATCCTTTGGCCTTTCTCCAACCAAGGAGCACCCCCAGGGCAGTGGGGGCTAGGTCTTGAGGAGCCCTAGACTAGCCTTTCTCTGGAGGGTGCAACACTGGTATTTTATCGGAGCTACCCCGCCACGCTGCCACCAGGCCCGCCAGTCGGATGCGGTTTACGGTCACACTCAGGACCTGTGACTTCAATACTTGCTAAGTGACTGGAGAAAAGGATAAAATGTTCACTTGGTATCATCTGGAGGAGGAAGCGGTGATTGCTCGCAGCCAGCGGAGATTTGCCAAGCACAAATCAGGCCAAACCACTTGATTTCTTTTGCAACAGGGAAGTGCATTTGGTGGGTAAAGTCAATACAGTGTCCATGCTACGCCTGGACTCAGGTTTTTGACACGGTCCCTTGTGCCATTCTCATAAGTAAACGGGAGAACTGTGGTTTAGGTAGAATTGCCGTTATGCGGCTGCATAATTGGTTGAATTACCGCAAGCAACAAGTGACCATTAATAGATGGATGCCAGACAGGTCAGAGGCCTTAAGTGGGGTCCCCAGAGGAGCTGGTTTTGGGTTCACTGTTAACATTTTCATTAAGGGCTTGGATACAGAAGAAGAAAATTAAAGATAAAAAGTCCTCTCAAGGTTACTGTCCTCAGAGAAAGCTTAGTTGGCGCCTGTAGCCAGCGTCCAGAAGGCAATCAGGTCTGGTCCCTGTGGACATCCCAGTCCAAATGATTAGGAACCAACCCATTTACAGCTGAGTCACCTGGGGCTTGCCTTTGGTCTGAATCCAGAGCAAAGCATGAACTTGCCCCGTTGGAGCCAGAATGAGATGCCTTAATTACTCTGTCACCGCACACTGATCCAATCTGCAGATGGGAGGGGCTGCAAAAGCTTTGAAGGAGAGGATTAATATTCAAAGGACTCTCGATTCATTGGAGAACTGGGCTAGAGAAAACAAAATGAAATTCAACAAAGACTAATGTAAAGTGCAATATATAAAGAAGAAAAAGCACACGTACAAACAGAGAACAGCGCATAACTGAGTTGGCAGTCCATCCTAAAATGGATTAAGAATTGGATAATGAACAGATCTTGCAAAGCAGTCATCAGTGGGGAGATGTATAAATAGGAAGGTAATGAGTACGAGATGTATAAATAGGAAGCCTCTGAGCAGGGCACTGGTAAGACTGGGCACGTCTGCACGTGCATTATTGCACTGCAATTACTGTGCATTAAATTTCGTACCAGTAATAACAGGTACCAACTGAATGCACAGTACTTGGCTTCGCTGTGACTTGCTAATGCACAGCAGGCTTAGTCTACTGCGCTTTCCGCGTCTCGTGTAGACGCACCCGCTGATAACCAGAATGCTGCATATCATCCTAGTCGCAGCATTTTAAAATGGGTGTTGAAAAATTGAAAAGGATGAAGAAACGAGTCCCAGGGTGATTCAAGGGTGAACAGAATACGTCACTGTGGGAAGCTTAGGGAGCTCCATCTGTTTAATTTACTAAAGACCGAGAGAAAGCTTGATTACAGCGTATAAGTGCCTCCACAGAGAGGAAAACTGAGCCCTGAATTCTCTGCAATACAGCGAGGAGAGGCATAACAAAAGCCACTTGCTGGAAATTAAAGCCAGGCACAAAGTCCTAACAGTGAGGGGAAGAAACCAGTGCTACAAACTCCCCAAGGAAGGTGGCTGATTCTCCGCTGCTGGATGTCTTCAAGCCAAGACTGGACGACTTGCTGGAGGACTCTTTAGTCCAATGGAGGTTGCTCGTGAGAGCCTGGAGCGAGATTGCCAACGGCGCTCCTGTAAAACCCTCTGCATCCAGTGGGAAGATCGCTGCACAAACGCCAGCATCCTTCCTGAACCCGGCGTTACCGGCACCAAGCCAGCGATCCTCGAGCACCAACTTCCCCAGACTGGACGTTGTGGGTCTCGACTCCCAAAACAAGTGCTCCTCTCCCAGCTTAGCTGTGACTTGAGATCCTGCCGCGGTCCAAGGAAACTCTAGCAGACGGATGCCAACCTCAAGAGCTGGGAGGAGTTGGCTGCCAGCCGACCCCCACGATGCTGCAACCTCAACCGCGCGGCAGCCCACTGCGAGGTAAAGCATCTTGCCCTCGAGACATGAGAGAGCAGAGGAAGGAAAAGGAGAGGAATCCCACCTTGCAGACTACTCTCCCCTGGGCAAAGACCTGCAACTTCTGCAGACACGTCTATGGCCCAAGGATTGGACTCTCAACTCATCAATGAGCTGCGGTCGAGACGAGCCTCAAATGGAGGGATTGCTGCTGCCGCTGACGGAGTTACTGGGCTCATCCAACGTTTACAGTTGGAGTTATGGGGAGAATTAATTAGTGAGGGTATATAAAGTGCTCTGAAGATAAACGTTCGAAGGATGAACTCAGCGTACAGGCCTGTTACTATGTTAATGGAGATTTAAATTTTAAGCCTGTTTTGAAAAGGTTACCGCGCATGTATAAAAAATGAACTTCAAATAGTTGGCCAATTAGAAATGCAAAAAATCAAGCACTGTATGAAAAAAGGGAATTCTACTTGTCAATTTTTAATTTATATTTTCCTATAAATAAATTATAATGGACATTTTCAAAGCGTAGAGTGAAGATGAGTGGATTAACAGGAGTCCCTAAATACCAAAATTAAATAAAACGTAGACCTTTCTTGATGAGAGTCAGCACTAGAAAACTCCTACCTACCACTAATCTGCATAACATCCCCATAATCAGCCCCTAGGCTAAACCCCCCAAAATAAGGTGGGGTGTATGCATGCTCTTCGAGACCAATATGGATGCAAGGTCCCGCGCTCAGAGCACGCTGCCACTCCCCTTCCAAGTTCCTGGGAGCCGTGCAGCGGCACTTGCTGCTAATTTATTTTGTTTACATCTAATGAATAAAAACCCACGGCCAAAAACGTTCACTTCTGTTTTGGGCGCCCAATTCAGAGATCTCATGCTTTGCTTTCCAGAGGTGCAGGGCAGCCAGGGGTCTGGCTGACGCCCACAGCAGTGGCACGTCTTCGACTCTGCTCAACATAACATGTGCTAGGAGTCAAGCTGAGCACCTGCGCGCTGCGGTGTGTGAAATCGCCCGTCACGGAGAAAACGTACAGGTATGATTTGCATTGTGTTAACAACTACAGGCACTGTGCTAGGCACTGTACACACACGTGTCAAAGATAATCTGTGCCCCAGAAATGATTCATCCCAACGAGGGCTTGTCACCGTGGGGAGGTTAGCTCACTGCACGTGCTGCCGAACGGCTCCCAGGAAAGATGCGTGTTTTCCGGAGCATTCGTATCTGTCTGCAGAGCTGTCCTGGCATTGCCGCTGCGCAGAGGAATCACTGCGACTAAAACGAAATTCCTTCCAGATGCAGACAAGCCCTAAATGCTCAGGAGCCAGCAAGCTGCATCTATAGCTAATCTAGATGACCTCGTGTTACCTCTCCCCAGCTCAGGAGCATGGGCTATGTTTTCCACTAGGCTGGTCCTGATCCAGACACAAAATAATAATGTTCACACTTCCAGTGAGGAGGACTTCAATGTCCAGTGCTGGACTCAGCTGTGACGGGGGCATGGGGGGAGAACAGCGGACCCTCGCTAGGCAGGCAAGACCCAGAAAACGAAGACCGCTAGAGCTCGGGAGCCAGTGCAGGGCCTGGGGAAGGAGCGTGCAACTTCCCGTGCAGCTCCCCTGCCACACCGGTGCTCTCTATAATGCAGCATCCGCAGCTTCCAGTTTCAGATTTGGCCTGGACAAGTGTCATCATTACCCAGGTCGCGGACTGTACATCTGGGTAAGCCACGAGCAAATCTACCATTCCTCCTGTTAGCTCTCCCAAGCCAGCGGGCAGGCAAGAGCTTCAACATGGGAAGCAGCGAGCGGAGTAGCCACCCTTCCCGGTACAGACTCCGCTTTGCACGCTCGTCCCATGGTTTACAGGCTCTCTCTAATGACGAAGCCAGCGCTGCGGGAGCCGTCGAATACAACAGGGACAAAGCTCGGGCGCACGGACAGGAAGGATGCGCTGCCTTTCTGCCACAAAATTGCTTACTTTGAGTAGTTTCATTAGCCCTTCAAGCTGCACCATCAGCTCCCTCCTGCTTTCTTGAAGCGCCGACATCCTCTGCTCCAGTTCGTCCTTCCTCTGCCTGTTTCAATTAATGGAAGAAAGTGTCAGAAGAGAAATGCCGGGCGTTTCAAAGGCACTTCAGGAAATCCACGCTGTCGACTGCCTGCCATAAACCGTGTTGTTATATTTCACTTTACTTGATACTACCGCCTTCCAGTTAACAAATTAAAGGGAAAAATAACACGGAGACCATAATCCAGCCTATTATATCATGAGACACAACAGCCAGGCTTCTCATTATAAAATCCAAGGACCTACAGTCAGGACTATGGTAGTGGGGAGCCTATTTTTTTTTTTACCACCGCATTTTAAAAAGAAAGGCAGCATCTTTCTAATGATGCCGTTAGACACGGGCAGCCAGCAGATCTTTCAGACAAGTAAGAACGAATTATCAAAAAAGGGGGAAAGCCTGCAGACTGCTGGAAGAAAGAGGCAACGGGATGTCAGCAGCTTGAGCTCCGAATCCGCAGAGCTGCGTCGACCCGATCGTCAGACGCGTGACCCCCGAAACATCTGCGCAAACAGAGCTCACGTTCATTCGGACAACGGTCTCTTTTTGGGGTATCGAATCATTACGGGGCGAGCGCTCCCGACAACGAACGCTAGTTTTGAAGAGATCTGAGAGACAAATCAGCCTTGTGGTTTGCATTTACATTTTCAGAAAGAATTCAGACGTTTCTTACTATAAGGACACGTCTAGGATTAACCAGCATCAAATGCTATTAGGCTCAATATCTGGTATGATAAAAAGATGCATTTAGCTTTTTTCTTTGAGCAGACATGGCTCTATAATAATGAGCAAAGTTAGCGATCAAATAACTAATTAACCAATGTCCATGGCAGAAAGAGCTGTGTTTTATACATGTGTGGTGGCTTGCCTCTATCTGATGATTTCCAGTCCAAGGTTAGAGACAAGATAAATTATACCGCAGGCTGACTTTGCCCTGAATCTATCAATTTTCCTCTTGCATCTGTACCCTCTGATAAAATGGAACAAGGATCTTACTAAGCAAATCATTGTAGGAGCTGAAAAACGTGATAGCAAGGGCCTGGAAATGAGGCAGACCATCGGCGGTGTAACACTGAGGCTGGCTGGGCACCTCTGGATGGCATTTCCCAAGAGAGATGACTGCCTAACGCAGAGCACCCCGGCCAGCCCCTGCCAGCATCTTCGTATACGCAGAGTACGTGACAATGATTGTGAACTGGCATATCACAGAAATAAGGGAAGATAAAGAGTTGGCTGCGCTTGGGTGGTCACCCAAAATGCAGTAACAAAATCCAGCCTAATTTGACACTGGAGGCTGAGATGGTTTCTCTTTCTTTCCTGAGCTCTTTGGTTTTCATCTGTGTACGTATAATTACTTGCTAACACACTGCTTGGGAAACGAGCTGACATTCTGCGACGCAGCGCATATCGAATAGGTTAAAAACCAGGTGACAGATCTCAAAACGTTATTGTTAATGGAGATTCACGACCAAATGCGTGTGCTCCTACTATGTGCCCACAGACACCTGGTTTCGGCTTCGTGTTATTCAGCTTCGTTAGCAAGAAAATATTTATAAAGCTGGTGAAGTTTGCAGATGACAAGATCCTGGCAGATGGATGTGGACAGGTCAGCCCTGCGCAGCCGGCCCTGCATCTCTCGTGTTAAGACTGAGTTTTGATAACAAGTCCAGACTGCAGCAGACACCAGAGGACACGGTGTTATTCCTGCAGGGAAGGACTACACTGAGCAGTCGTTTACTGTCCGATCGCTTCTTTAAAGCACGTTCTTGTGCCACGGTTTCTTCAAGTTGCCCTGTATGCGTCAGGTCTGTGCGTCCGCCACGTGAGGCACGGATACGATTATTGATCACCCACTGCTTCTGTGGGAGAAAGCAGGCTCGCGTGTAAGATCGCTAACGACAGCTTTATTTTCTACTCCCACATCTGCCATTCACTGGGCTCGCCCGGCTAAGCCCGGTGGTAAGCAATGAAACAACACGTGTTTTAATGCGGTCGAATGTCAGGCGGTAACGTCTAGAAAGCAGCTAGGCAGGCCAGATGGACTGGCAGCTGCATCCTAGAAGGCAGAGACTTTGCAGAAGAGTTAAGAAATAACTGAGTGAGGAGGAGCTCCCGGTGCAGAGCGAGCGGACTAACGTGATCCTTGGATTTACAAGCGGGAATGCTGATAAGAACAGGAAGGCGATATTTCTGTATGCAGGGGACAGCCGGATCCTGTGGGCTTGGCGGATTCCTCCTCCAAGAGGTCAAAAGCCGGAGGCAATGCAATGCTGTAGCCTGGGCTCTGGTCCTTGCTGCCAGAGTCGCTTCTGGTTTTTACCAAAGACTGCCTGCTGCGATGTTGGACGGCAGGGGCTGGACCCTGGGACCCCCTTCCCGAGAAGCCCCCTCCTCGCCGCACCACAAAGCTACGCTCCCTTCTTTCTTGCTGTCCGCTCCCGGCCCCATGAAGCGTTGGCTGCTCAGAGCTGCAATATCTGCATGGAGGTGGGCATGGTGAAAGTCTCTTGGGCAGGATGAGAGGGGAGAGCAACAGGGGTGGTGCTGTGGTGGGGTCTGCTATAGACCGCCAGACCGGGACGAAGCGGTGGATGAGGTTTCTCCAAACAGGTAGCGGGTGTTTCCCCGATCACCAGCCCTGGCTCTCATGGGGGACTTCAATCCCCCCGACATGTGCTGGGAGGGCAACACAGCCGTGCGCATGCAACCCAGGACATTTTTGGAGAGCGTTGGGGACAATGTCCTGGTGCAAGTGCTGGAGCGGCCAAGTAGGGGCCGTGCTCTTCTTGACCCGCTGCTCACAAACAAGAAGAATTGGGGGGGATGCAGTAGTGGACGGCAACTTGGGCAGCAGCAACCATGAGATGACAGAGTTCAGGACGCTGAGGAAAGGAAGGATGAGTGAGGACCCTGCACTTCAGCAAAGCACATCTGGACTTGCTCAGGGAACTCTCCTGATCGCCACGAGCTTTCAGAAAGGAAGCCTGCAAGAAGTGGAAACTTGGATAAACAACTGGGGAGGAGTAGAAGAGCATTGCTCAGGGATGAAGTCAAGAAAGCCAAAGCGCAACTGGAGTTGCAGCTAGCGAGGGATGTGAAGGGGAACAAGAAGAGTTTCTATAAGCGTGCCAGCAACGAGAGGAAAGTCAGGGAAAGTGTGGGTCTCTTACTGAATGGGGGAGGCAACCTAGTGACGGATGAGGAGGAAAAGGCTGAAGTCTTCACCCGAGTCTTCACGGGCAACACAGGGCAGCACAGTTTGGGGAGGAGATGAGCAGCCAACAGTGATGAAAGAACAGGTAAGGGACTATTTAGAAAAGGTGGACACATACAAGTCCCTGGGGCCGGATGGGATGCACCCGAGGGTGCTGAGGGAGTTGGCTGATGAGACTGCAGAGCCGCTCGCCAAAAGGAAGGCGCGTAGGTGGAAATGGAAGAAACGTATGACTGGCATCGCTGCTGGAGTGGAGATAACGGAGAAGGAAAACACATCACTGATACGGACTTAGGCCAAGCTCTATGAGGTCGTGAACTCATAAAGATAAGGAACTTAAAGCTGATTTCCTGACAGTATGAAAACCAGTAAAACATGAATAAATAGATGCAGAGATATTTTAATAAAAACAGATGAGGGAATGTTTTATGGCTAGATTGTGTGGGGCAATACCCAGGATCTAGTTGGCAGCTGGTATCAAGTGGAGAGCCCCAGGGGTTGGTCCTGGGGCCGGTTTTGTTCAATGTCTTCATTAATGACCTGGAAGGTGGGATGGATGCACCCACAGCAAGTCTGCAGATGAACCAAGCTGGGAGGAGGAGTAGATACACTGGAGGGTAGGGCCAGGATGCAGAGAGACCTTGGCTTATTGGAGGATTGGACCAAAAGTCATCTCGTGCAGTTCAGCAAGGACAAGTGCAAAGTCCCGCACGGAGGAGGGAGGGATCCCCGGCCCCGGGGCAGGCTGGGGGCGATGGGCTGGGCAGCAGCTCTGCAGAAAAGACCTGGGGGGACAGGGGACAAGACGCTGAACAGGAGCCGGCAGTGTGCCCGTGGTGCCGAGAAGGCTACCGGCATCCCGGGCTGCATGGGTAGGAGCGGTGCCAGAAGACGGAGGGAAGGACCTCTTGGGAGCACAGAACATAGGACAGACTGTCCACTTGGTCAGCGTTTTCAAGCTTGGGGGCCCCTAGGTGTGATTCTTCCCCTCTGTCCAGCACTAGGGAGGCCACATCTGGAGTCCTGTGTCCAGCTGTGGGCCCCCACTACAGAAAGGATGTGCACACATTGGAGAGAGACCAATGGAGGGCAGCGAAAATGGTTGTGGGGCTGGGGGACAGGACTGGTGAGGAGAGGCTGAGGGAACTGGGCTGATTGAGTCTGCAGAAGAGGAGACCGAGGGGGATTGAATAGCAGCCTTCACCTCCCTGCCGGGGGGGCTGCAAAGAGGATGGAGCTGGGCTGTTCCCAGTGGGGGCAGATGACAGGACAAGGAGCAATGGGCTCCAGCTGCAGCAAGGGAAGTTGAGGTTGGAGATTAGGAAAAACTCTCTCATGAGGAGGGTGGTGAAGCACAGGAACAGGCTGCCAAGAAAGGTGGTGGGATCTCCATCCTTGGAGGGTTTGAAGACCCGGGTAGACAAAGCCTTGGCTGGGATGATGTAGCTGGGGCTGGTCCTGCTTGGAGCAGGGGTTGGACCAGATGTGACCTCCCGGGGTCCCTTCGAACCCCAATTTCCTATGATGCCACGTGCGCCCCCAGCATCAGGCAGTCACTGAGAGTGATTTGTACCTGCCTAAGGGACTGACAGATCCAGTGGCTGGAAAATGAACCAACTGACCAGGACAGATTAAGCCTAGCAATCAGGCACACTTTTAACAGTGAAATTAATTAGCTATGACATCACCCCTTACAAAGGCACACGATGGATGCCCCGGACTGAGGGTCTATAAATCAAATACGAGTGTCTAAGGGACGCTGCACCTCCCGCGGCGGGCACGGGCGTCCCCAGGTGTCAGCGGCTGGCGCTCTCTCATCTGCCTTCTGCAGCAGGCCAGCTTAGACTACTAGGGCGGCCCAGTCTGAACCTCTGGGTGAAGCCCACGTCCTCTGCATGAGGTACAGCATCTCTTAGACATTCATATTTGATTTATAGAGGTGTGCTTTTCCATTTGTCTGTATGAAAACACATAGTGTTTGTACGGGACCAGCTTATAAAGTCAAGTTGGCCTGCACGACTGCCTCGTCTTCATCATTACTCATCATTCTGCCAATCTTTGTTATCTGCAAATTTACCAGCGATGATTTGATATTAAATATAGATTGCTCAGGAGAGCTTCTGACCAGCCTAGAAAATATGGAGCAATTTGCAGGGGAGAGGCTTCCTTGGGAGGTGTGGGGATGTCCATCAGCCCTGGCTCTCCCCAGTCCACTCCAGCCTTATCATCATGCAGTTAGTTCAATGTGCCTCCAAGTACAGGTGTCTTATTAGAGAGCACAGCCAGCCCCTTTGGGCTCTAGCCCCCAGCTCGTGCACCGCTGTTTTAGAGGGAGGCTGCTGAGCAAGAGAAAGGAAAGGCTGGTGAGCCAGACACGGAAGCGCAGGCTCTTCGACACAAAAAGCAAATGCAAAAAGTCGAGAGGCTTTGATGCTGGGACCCTGCTGCACTCGACCGGGGGCAGAGCGGTGCCATCCCGTGGTGCCGCACTGTGCCTCGGGGACAGCCCTCGACGGGAGCAGGGAGCACGGCCACGGGGCCTCTCTTGAGAAACACGGGGCGGCTCTCCACAGGCTGCAGCTGCCAGAGCTGAAATGTTAGGACACACATTAGGTTTCAGGTGGTGTTTTTGTAAAGATTAGCTAGGAAAAGAGGATGAAGTAAAATACTGCCAGAGAACTGTCTTGTGATTACGCAGACGGTGACATGCTTTATTCTGTGAATACCGACAGCTCTTCCCTTGTCACTTCAAAACACAGGCGTGAGCAAAGGGGCTTTGCAGACTGCTGCCCGAGTCGGGAAGCGTGGCTGAGTGTTCACAGACAGGCACTTTCAAAACCTCCGTGACTAACCAAGTCGCTGGTACCGCTCTCCAGTGACATTTCCATGTCCCATACGTAATAACCAGCTGGTCCCAATTTTACCGCCCCCTTTGCTAACAACTTCCTGAATTATGCAGACAGAAGGAGCACACTTTGCGTGACCTTTTTTATTTGCTCTGAAATCCATCTTATGAAAGAGGGAGCAAGTGCAACGGGCATTAGCATTTAAAATGGCTCCTCGGAGTCTGCAAAGATTTGGTGATATCACGCCCTTCTCAGGACCAGACAGGATCACCTGTGCCAGAGAACAGGCCACCCTGCCTGAAGAGCTGAGATATCAAATGCAAACAAGGGTTAGCTATTTCCTTTACCGTAGGAGCCTGAGTTCTGCGAGCAGAGTCGGGTTTTGCTGCGCTTTCTCTGGGGTGGGCTGCGAGGCTTGCTCGTGCTCCAGTCGGAGGCGCTGGATTTCCTGCAGTATCTCTCTATTTAAACAGGGGAGGGAGGACAAAAGAGGAGTGAGGTGAGAACGCGCACTGCTCCTTAACACCCGACAGCAAAGCTGCAAATGTGCTTCCTCGCCCGCTCGGTAGTAAGTGCAAACACCTCTGTGCCAGGTATGAATGGCGAAGACTCAAATCCAACAGACACGTGCGACAGTCCCAAATATTGCCCCAGTGCGGTTAGGAAATGTATGATAACAAGAAGGTGATGGGGACAAGATTAACCCGTGTCCCCGCTACTGCACCAGCTGGCAATATCCCTGCAAAAGCTTTCCTGAAGCTGGGCCACGTGAGCAGCTCAGCTTTCCGAGGGGCAGAGCTCGGCTTTCAGCAAAGCCTGTTTCTGCGGCAGGAGGGGTTGTGAACAGGCCTGGCTGGCGCGCAGCGTGCGGATGACACTGGTTTAATTTCATGCTCACCCTCACAAGGTCTTCTTGGCAGGTCAGCAGGAATGTGAAAAATAACAGCTCCTGGCTGCAGCCGCTCGTGGTAATGGAGATAAACTTGTCAGGAGGTCTCACAGAGGAAAGGCAATTAAGGAGCATCCCCACCGCACTGTGTGCTCTGAGCTGCTGTCACCCTCGGTATTGCTGGAGGTTAGGGAACATATCACTAACTGCTAAGGAGTCATTTATTAAAATGTAAATGAAGCCCCTCTGGTTTGGAAAGAAGGATTGGACTCTCCAGTCCTCCTCCCTCCCTTCCTCTTGTATTTTCCAGATCCTGAGCTGCTCTCGCTGGGGGAGACTTCAGAAGAGCGCTGAGCCCACCGTTCAGCTCACCCGCTTTCCTTGTGCCCCTCTCAGATGCAGCCCACGGCCCTGGCCGTGCGGGGACCGGCGGTGACACACGTGCGGGGACCTGCGCTATGCGATTGGGACCGATTCAGCAGTGCACTCTGCAAAGAGCAGCATTTAGCTCACTGCTGCCTGAGGGGCACGAGGGTAAGGACGGGGAACAGGAACAGAGCCCAAGTGGGACTAAGACACCACAATGAGACAGACACGTACAGCGATCTGCTCTCGGCTGCTGGGCTGTGATTTCTGCCATGCCTCCTATTTGGCCTGGAACGTCCCTCCAATGAGGCAAAAAAATCTGCTTTTCTCAGATTACATTCCCTCCCTGCAGCCTTTCGAAGTGACCCAATTCCTGCACACACTGGCCTCGGCGTGATTTGACGGCTCTGCTGTCGTCCGAGCGGTTTATTTTGCAAGCGTGCATTCTAGCTCACAAGCGCCATGGGGCGGGAACAGCACGTTTCTGCCTGTGCAGCGGTGAGCACGCTGTCAGAGCTCAAAGAACAAGCCTCTTCAGTGATTTCTATGCACCTTGCAGGAGCACGGGACGCAGGACACAGCCAAGGGCCTCCTGGGAGCACAGACCATAGGGCAGACTGTCGTCTGGGTCATCATTTTGAAGCTCGGGGGCCCCTAGCTACATCCATTTTGCTCTCA